CTCTCTCTCTCTCTCTCTCTCTCTCTCTCTCTCTCTCTCTCTCTCTCCCCGTCGCAGCTGACTGAGATCATGCAGCTGATGAATGCGTATTTCAGTGCCATCCATCGCCAGCGAGGGAAAGGGGACGATCCGGACCTCAGCATCACCGAGAGCACCGAGTGGGGCTTCCGGCACCTGGCCCCGACGCAGACCCCCACACTCCTGGAACTGCCCTCTCACCCCGTTTGAGACCCCCAACCTACAACCCACGACCCCCATCCTCCTCCCCCTCCTCCTCCTCCTCCTCCTCCTTGCGGCCTCCTATGAGGCCCAGTCCCAATCCTCAGGACCCTGTGCCTCTGCTGCAGCAGCCAAAACAAAGAGAGGGCTGTTTTCACTCTCCATCCGTGAAAATAAACCCTCGCTGAGCTTTCCAGCTGAAGGAGCTGGTCACAGAATGGAAGAGTGAAGGGGGGGTGGGGGGGGGGGGGGGGCTGGGAAGGGAAAGGAAGGAAAGGAAAGGAGCTCTGGTTTGCGAGGGAGCCCAGAAACGGTTCGAAACCGCTGCCGTTTCTGATGAGGTGCCACACACCCCCCCCACCCCTTCTTGTTATGCTGCGACCGTCTTTGTTGACCCCTCACGGCTACAACCCCACCCCCCCCCCCCCCACCCCCCCCAAAAAACCTTGTCAATGTGAGACGTTGGCGTGAGCCTTCTGACATCAGGGAGAGACAGCAACACAACAGTTAAGCTTACAGCAACGATAAGCTGTGGTCCCCCCCCACCCCTCACAAAGCCAGGTCTCAGAGTGAGAACACTGCCCACTCCCCTCCTGCTCCCTCTCTCTCTCTCTTTCTCGAGGTGTGCCATATTGGATTTGCCTTTCCTCGAAGGCGGCCATCCTTTGTGCAGGGCTTGGAACGGTGTTGAGAACATTCAGTGACACGCGGACGCCCCCCCCCCCCCCCCTCGTCCCCCCCCCCCCCCCTCTCTCCCACACACGCGCTCTCTCTCCCTGGCGTGCCCTTCCGCTGACACCTCCATCAGACAGCGGGTTTTCTTAAGGTCCCCGGCTGGGCTTGCATTACCTGGAACTGTTGACGCAGCGAGCCATGTGAACTCGGAACTGGATCCAGATGTTGAACTCTGCAGCGAAAGCCCGAGTCCGTTCGCGGAGCTGATCTTTTCCCCTCGGTGACACTCTTTCCGGGGGGGGGGAAATCGAAGGTCCTCGGGGGGGCCCCCGTCCCATCACGTTGCCACCAAAAAGCTCCGGTTTGTCCTTTGCTGTGCTGCTGGTCCTGGCGGTCGTCTTGGGACAACGAAACTTGGATAACACTTGACTGAGTTAGTTTCTTAATGCAGCTCTTATCTGCTGAAGATAACAGGTGCTTCTTTGTATAGTTATTTTTCACAGTGTATATATAATGGAAGAGTTTCACAAAGCTTAGCCTCCATCAGATACGCAGATCCTTTAGGGTCTGACTTTATATTAACGACACACTGCCCAGTTTGTGAGCGAAAACGTCTTCTAAACAGGCCTCTTGTCGTATTTTTTTTATGTAAACATCACTTTTTAACCGTTCTTTCTCTTAATTGCGGAACCAGACTTAGTCTAAAATCATGTTTGCTTTAACTCATCAGTCATAGGTTGCTTTGGTTCTGCTCCTTAAAGCACCTTGTGTGTGAATCCCCTCGTTGCCTCCTCGTTTTGAATATTTGAACATTCTCGTGAAGCCAAAGTTTTGCCATGGTGTGGGTTTGAAAATGGACCAAAGATTTTTTTTTTTTTTTTTAAATAAGCTTTTACAACATTACACGATCCAAATTTAGACAGATTCCCCTAATTTACATTAAACTATTTTCACTTTTATTCATTTGACTTTTAACATAAACATCAGCTATCCTGTTATAAGTTGTACAACGTAGCTTTTCTTGTAATGACAATGTAGGAACCTGATTTGTAGTTAATACCACAGTGCTGTCTGCTACACGGCCCTTTGCAATAACCTCAGAACTTTTGTTTCACCACGGTAGAAGACCATGACAAGTCATTGCACAGCCAGCCCTGTCCCTGCTCAGAAGCAGGTATTTAGCTTTTTGTACTGCAGCTGCAGGCAGCTCAAAGCAACACATATAGAAAGGAAAAGAATGCAGATGTCTTTGCTTAGTATTAAGCTTATTTGTATGCTGCATGGTACCTTTTTATGTAATGTGTATAGTCAATTGCACTATTGTTGTTAACTAACTTGGGAGTGCAATAAAAGCTATAAAATACTGTATGTAATTAATAAAAAAAACTCTTATTAATCGGTTTGTGTTGTCCAGATTTGTGAAGCACTGAGTATTTTTTCCATTTAAATGTTTAAAAGGAAGGAGAAGAGGGCTGAAGTTTGGCTTAAATCGTCCTCCCCTTAGGTTTTTCCACTGTGAACAATAGCTGTTTGAGCAGTGCCTTTACGTTCCCCCAAGGTAATGAGCCCTATCTGAAATAGATGTACAGCCACCCTCCACTGCAGGTGAAAGGGGGAGAAATATTTCTGCCGCCTTGTAGAAAGGTTCACTGTATTCCTGATGGATGAAAAGCAGTGTATCCTTAAAACCAAGTGAGTATTCAGACAAAGTCATAGAAAACATGTTTATTATTCTTACAAGTCTAACAAGCAAAGCAACATGAAACAGAAAATTCACTTCAGACCACAACTGTTATTTAAAGTATATTTACAGGCTGAGCCACTAAGCATGAAAACCAGTTTTCTCCTTATCTATTATCTGCACTAACTGTTGCTTTGGAGTAACAGTTTGCATTTTTGTTAGAAAGCCAAAGCCGTTCGCACAGGAGCTATTTTAACACCACTTTGTGGCTCAAGTCCATTTGGAACCTGACATTGTTTGTTGTTTACGGTGGTAACAAGCGAGTTCTTTATCAGCAGCAGATAAATGAGGTAAGACACAACCTACTTCAACCGTGCTGTGCGTTCTGTGCTTACCATTATTCAAGGCAGTCATTCTAGAGGCTGATGGTGTTCTCGTTGCAAAGCAACTGCAATAATACTAGAATACTCAGAACATTGTAAAAAAAAAAAAAAAAAAAAAAACGGAAAAGAGTGGTTTAGACATCTGAAAACTTAAAAAAAAAATATTTTTGTTTTTTTAAAGAGGTGCCGCATGGGAGATAAGTCTCAATAGAAATGTGTAGATAACAGGTATTACATATTTGCTGAATTAAAAAGGTACAGGACTTCAGTTTCCCTCTAACAGGTACAGATAAGAATCCTTAGCGTACAATACGGCCCAGGAAAACACCCTCCCCCCCAAAAATCCTATCATTACATGCTATAACAAGCCAATACATGTTTTTCTGAACAGCAGATTTTCTCAACAATGATCAGTTGAGTGACCAACATGTAGGGAACACATTGTGGAGATCTAAGATGGAATAAACTTCTAATGTGCATTGGCTGGGTTGGAGCAGAGAGAGAAGAAAAGGGTCAAGTTCACTGTTCCTGCGTGCCCCAGGAAATGTAGTCAGGCCGCGTTGCTGCGCTGTACTCGTCCACCAGCTGCTGGACAACTTCGCGAGAGTTGTCCAGCTCGTCAAAATTGTCCTTGAAAATGTCCTCCTTGCGGAACTGCTCCAGAAAGGCTTCCCGCTTTCGCAGTTTGTCGTACTGCCTGCAAGTCCGCTCAAACAACTGTGAAGGGGAAGAGGAAGGGAGAGGGAATTCACAGCCACCTCTGAAACAAGGCATGGTTCAGGTCTTCCTTTAAAATCCTAATATTTTCGGTTTTGTTTCATTCGCTCCGTTTCACAGGAAAGAAAAACTATTTCTATGACCTCACTTAAACTTCCTCTTCGATCTAGCCCAGGCGTCATGGCTGTCTGAGGTCTTGTAAGGTAGCATCTTTCTCAGTCATGGTAGATTAAACATAATGACACCACGAGGCTGCCGCTTCTTTCAACTTCACAGGTCATGTTTGAAATGACCAAAAAACATGAATGAATAAAATGATAAACCTCACTCTTTTTTAGGGGAAATTCCCCTTTAACTTCAATTTTGGACAACAAACTCCCAGTCATGAGAAAAGGTGCAGAGGTCTGTGTACAAGTATTCTCTGAGGGAGAATTAAATGATTGAGCCGATTTAAAGCCGCCATGAGAACTTACAGAGGAGATGCTTGTGTGGTTGGCCATCATCAGGCCGCTGACTCTGTGAGCCGAGGGCAGATAAGGAGACTTCCTGGACAAAGCCACCTGGATGCTGGCGGGACCCCAGGGAATGAAGTTCGCAAGTTTGCGCTCTCGGATCCTTTGGAGGCTTTTGTGAACCTACAGTAAAGTTGGTAGAAGTGTGTTTGAAACCATGAATCAGAAAAAAAAAGCAGGTTTCATATTTAAATATAAATAAAGTCCACTGGTACCTGTGTTGGGTCAACCTCGCCCTGAATGATGTTGAGGATGGCGATGTAGCAGTGGCTGGGCTGCCTCTCTCTTCCTGTGGACACCATCACGTTCTTGGGCTGCAGGAGCCTCCTCATCACATCCAGCACCGTGGTTTTCCGCACACTAGCAACCTGAGACACAGTTGGAGTAGATTCACATCAATCCCAGCCCCGCCGGCCATTTAATCTGGTGCCTTTTATCTGCCGATCTCAACTCACCGACTGGTCCGTCGTGAGCGGAGTGTATCCAGTCATGAGGAAGTGGAGACGGGGGGTGGGGATGAGTGAAGCTATCAGGCCGATCAGATCGTTGTTCATGTAGCCCGGGTAGCGCAGGGTGGTGGTGCTCGCAGACATGATTGTGGAAACCTGCATTTGTGACATTTTACGAGATTTCAGGCAGACGCAGAGTTTGATATGAGCTGAAACCAGATAAAAGCTAACCACCGAGATTCAAGATTGAGTTTGTTTCTTTAATGTTTACATCAACAGGATGAGGGAAGGTGAAGGTCAACTTGGGGGACTGATGTTTGAAAAAAAGAAATGGGAAAAAAAGCAATGCTGGGTAAGGAAAGGCACGAGTGTGCAGACTGCTGCTCTGTTAATATGATCTTCATCATTTAGAGATCCTGTGCTGGTAAACCAGACCTTATATGTCTGCAGTACAGAATGCTCTGCTAGAGGCACAGGTCTTTCATTATTCCTGCCCATAGTTTGTGTTTTTAATTATGTTTCTATGGTAAATGATGCACAAAACAAAAAGGGAAAACGATCCACATGTAAAACATTACTTGATGTAAAGAAAATTTAAATACATTCCAGTGCAAGACTAGCTTGCCAAACCAGTTTGTTCATTTATTGGGTGCAACGTGTCTAGCACAGCGTGTCCAAAGATTTCTTCTTGTTAAATCACACCCAGGAAGACGCCTCAAACTAATCAATCTGACTCCAAGTAAAGAAAGAACAAAAAGTTGGCTGATAATCCACTCACCAGCTGATTGATCTGGGAGAAGGAAGGGTTCTGGATATGCAGCCTGTCTGTGGCGATGCGATTAAGAGCTGTGTTATCCAGAACAACCTGAGGAACAACACACAAGAGCACAATTATCAGACTAATGAAGAGGAGAGACGGTCAACACACTGCCACCCTCTTAAGGCAGCAGTGAGGGTATAACACTAATGACGCAGTCAAGGAACCTGGTAAGAAGCCACACAGTGTGCTGTTGTTAGAAAAGTTGAAGATAAAAGACACAGTGTACAGTCACAACAGGAGCACAGATTCTTAGGGCAGATTCTATTAACTGTTGGTCTAATTCAATCACCATGAGGGGCCTTATGCAAGATCCCAGAGGAAGTGGGTATTAAAGAGGAAACACCATTAAACTGTCAGTGCATCTCAGACTAATACAATTACCAATTCAGGGCTGATCCAGTATGTTGGATTTGTAAAACCTCAGTGCTGCCGCTGCAGTTAGTCGTGATTATGCTGCTACATAAGTGATAAAGAGCCTAAAAAGCTGACTTTCCTCAAAGGAACCATTAAGACGAAGGAAATTAGAACATGTTCTGAAAGAGACAACAACATCATCATGAAACGAAGCAAACAGCAACAAGTTCAGAGCAGGGATGTTTTCTGTTAGGACTGGGCAATCTGACAATCTTATATCATGAACCATCTTAATTATGGATGTGATTTCGCTTTAAATAAATAACAGTGCTATCCAATCTTTCATTCTCCACATTAGCCACATGAAAGCGTGGTTTGAAATTCAACCCAAAAGGAATGTCGCATTACTTCTTGGCTAGATCTTCCTAATCTAGTTTCAGGAAAAAAGTTAAATAAATATGGTTTTACATAACTACAACATCAGTGTGCACGAGGCCTGGGAGCCTTAATCAATGTTTTTTTTTAGGTTTCATACGTCTTTCATGTCACAACAGAGTTTGATATTTTCTGGGAAAGACTTTCGACTCAGTGGAACTCTGCCATTTTGGTGAACACATGAGGCCAAACCTAATTAACAGTCTGACATCACACCATTATTTTCTTGGAATACAGCAACTGTGATGTACTTCTTTTTTCTTTTTTTTAATTTTGTTCTTTAGGAAAATCGTTTTTGTTTCTTTTGTTTCTTTATCATGGTGAGCAGTGAGATTCATCAACATCTGCTCGTGTGCTGCTCACCACGCAGTCTGCGTTCTGGGTGAGTCTTTTCAGAGTGAGGAGCGAGTTGTATGGCTGAACAACCACGTCACTCATCTCATCCTGGTTTGGGAAAACAGAGTAGGTCTGGACCAGCTTCTTTGGATACCTGCAGAAAAGGAGAAATGTAAAGAATTTACTCGGAATCACCAGAAAAACAAATCAAAGTGGTCAATTTTTGTGTGTTGGTGTGGACCTGTCATTAAGTTTTTCCAGCAGATATGACCCCAGCCCTGAGCCGGTCCCCCCGGCAATTGAATGGCACAGGACAAATCCCTACAAAGACAAAGGGTTACTCATTACCAACACTCTCAAGCTGCAGCATTTGCCACATGCGTGTAAAGCTTACACTTAACTCCACTGGTGCAGAAAGCTGAAAGTGTGTGGGTGAGCAAATGCCTTGCTTTCTAGGCAGTTATATAAATGGTAGTGCGGCCCCACCCCCCTCCAACACTGCCCTGTAATACCTGCCTTCAACACTTGCCCTCCTATTATCACCAGACACACTACACGCCACACCCTGCCAACATACACATGCCAGCAGCAGCTCAGCCCACCTTCCTATCCAGTGCACACATGAATGCACACACTAAATAATAATGTGGGGTCATAAAGTGAAGGCCTTGCAGAAATTGCAGACCTTTGAGGGAAAATGCGAGTGTTATTTTATGGGAGGCTGGCAGCTGAATTAAGTGCACAAAAGAGAGGCTAAGAATAATAGTGAGGCATTGCTGGGACTGCTGGTTTTATGATGACAGACTCTGGCACCATTTTAACACGTTGTTTCCATTAAGTCAGTCATTTCAACATCCCTATCACCGCAACAGTCTGCTTGAAAAACAGCAAAAAGCCGGGTGTAAAGTAAAAATCAAGTAATCCATGTGACAATTTAGACACAAAGATGGATAAATGAGTTCAGGCTAAGCAAACAGTGGCAAAATAGCACTGAAAGACTCAAAAGAGTAAAACATTAACTTCAAAAACATTCAGAATGATGACAGTGACACCAAATTATGCCAACCACACCACTACAAACGGACACAAATATCCATAAATATACCCAATAACAACAAAGTCTCAAGATGACCATAATGAGATAAGCAACTCTTACAAAGAGCACCAGGAAAAGTTGTCTCAAAAAAGACCACAAAGAAACAAGAAAGACACACAAAATCACCACACAACTTCAAAAGGACAACAATCACAAGAGTTGATCTGTCTGAATTACTTCTAATCTTACAGGCTCAGTCTTAAATAATCATTTAAACCTACTTGAAAAAACAAATACTTGGAACTCTATTCTGCATTTAAGTTAAGGCTCCAACTGCAACCTGCTCTTAAATAGGCTGAATCAGTGAACAATATGATGTCATACTGCAGTTGATTTACTTAAAAACAAATCATTCTTAAAATTTCAGACAGGCACAGCCTAAGTAATCCCCAGACACGGTGGAAATGCAATATATGATGAACTTACCTCCAGACTGTCGCTGCCATCTGCCTCCCGGTCGATGATGTCAAAGATATCTTCTTGAATTTTTTTGCCCTAAGGAGGAAAAAAAAACAACAACAAATGAAACAAGAATTTAATGAGTATTTAATTTGGGTTGGGATGCATAACAATAGGATGAACACATTTCCAGTAATCACCTGTGAATATCCGCTCGCCCAGTTGTTCCCGGCACCTCCACCATGCTCAGACAGGTATATGTTCTCTGGGTTGTACAGGTTAGCGTAAGGTGAGTTGAGGATAGAGTGGATCACGCGGGGCTCCAGATCCAGGAGCACTGCACGCGGGATGTAGTGCTCATCATCAGCCTGTGGAGTTTGATAAACAACTGGGGATTAGGTGGTGCTACTCCACAATCTGTCAACCTGCAGAGTGTACTCCCTTTCACCAACACTCACAGAGGAAGTGTGCCATCTAGTGGAAAATTAAGGTGGTGTACTTTAGGATCAGAAAAGCATCACCAGGCGCATACTGAACACATACCTCATTACCTCATTTTTACAGCCTAAATTTCTCTAATTGTGTATAAAAATGTGGTTAAAAGAGGTAGAAATAAATTATATCTAATAGTTTACTTTAAGAGGTCCTACTGTTCGCAAAACCAGATGTTAATATTCTTTAACCAAGTAAAAAGGGGCATTTTTATTTCTTATTGATCCTAATTGCAAGGCCACTTTTGGAAGACATGCTCCCACAACGTAAAGTATCACATATTTTATCTTGTAGCAATTCACATCTATAGTGTAACTTGCCTACAGTAGAACTCCAAACTTTTAACTTCTCCTCAAAGAAAATGGTGAGGACTGGACAGGAGAAAGAAAGGTTGAGAAATGGAAATTGTGTATACAGAGAAGAGCAGACCAAAACTGAGCCAAAAACAAGTTTTCAGACAGTTCCTAAAAGTGTGATTGGTGCCGATTGTTTGTGGCTGCTATAGATAGAGATAATTACTAGACTGGCAATTGTATTTTTAAGTAGTGTCTTCTTTCAGGCTATTGTAATGTTCTTTAATGTTTCTCCAAAGTGTGTCTGCACGTTAACTTGAATCCAGTCCAACATTGCGTTAAATAACCTAGAAGTACTTCAGAGGCAGCAATGAGGAAAAGGAAAAGAGCTTCACTGCATTCTTCACTATATTCCAAAGCCATAGGACACAGTGGGTCATGTTTTAGTTAAGAGAAAATTAGATAATTCCTTCCTGCTCTTCCATAAATTCAGAAATTTGATGTTTGATCATTTTTAATAGCCCTATTGTTTATCACATAAATAACAGTTGGTGAGAAAAAATGGGCAGAAAGGGCATATGATGATACGAGATATATATACCCTGCCTCATATCATCTAAAGGCACAACCTGTGATGTTTTGAGAGCTGTAGGTGATTTCTGCTCGGCTACCTGATAGAAGAACACATCCTTTCTGTCGGTTCCCTCAGTTGCAAACTCTTCCACAATCCCCTCTGGGCTGATGCCATGTTCTGCACAAAGCTGCTTCCAAAACTCAAATCCAACTGCAAAACAGACACATGTGTATCAAAGTTATATGCGTGATCATTGGAAATAGTTTCATGCTTGCCAACAAAAACATTATTCACGTCGATTTCGAATAACAGCACTTCATGATCTCCATTGTAAGCCAAAGTTTCTGTTGTGTTGTATTAGCTCGGTGGACCCCATAATAAGCCGCTAAAACATCACCAGTGTTTGGGTTCATATTACATGTAGCTATGCTTCAAACTGCCCTTAGCAAAAGACAAACAGACCATCTTCGCTAGCTAACTGAAATGATGGACTCTTGCTAACGTATTACCGATGCTGAAATGTCACGTACTTTGGTTTCCACATTGTCCAAGCTGAAGCGTTATAATTTCCCGAGGCATGCTGACTCGTCAGTTGTTCCTTCTCCAGCCAGGCTGCTAGCTAAATAACACAATAAAGAAACCAGAAGCTCACACCGCTACTCCGCCATCAGCCCACTCCTTCCCGCTTGGAACTGGTATGACACTTCAAGTGTTCTTCTTCTACGGTTTGTTAACCAGATAGACTAAAGAAAAATACTGTATGTGCTGCCACCTATTCTTCCTAAGCACACAAACAAAAGGAAAAATAGACATATATAGTCAAAAAACAACTTCAAAAAGGACATACACACATGTAATGCTAACCCTCCATAGCCAATGAGAAGATGATAAAACATTAAAACAACAAAAGAGGTTGGGGTTATGTGTGAGCCCAGTGGCTTTACTGCCATCTAGTGGTCGTATCTAATATTAGACACGAGATGCTTGTTCTTCAAGAATAGGAAATGCACCTTCGCTTTGAATCAGTTGACCTATGTCGTGATGATGGCAGTGCGAAATCACAATGCTTTCTTTTTAAAATAAATAGTGGAAGTTTAGTAATTAAAGTAAGCGCGAATTTATTAAGAAACCACAGCTTGCCAGTTTTACATTCAGATACTTCATACAATTATATTTGTATAAAGAGGTTAAACAGAGGGAAGCATTCTCAGGAGCATATTTTGCAACAAAAAAGGATAAATAAGTTCCGCTTTTTTTTATTTCACCACTACAAAATAACTCAGACATGAACGCACCATGACGCAGGACCTCTTGCGGATTCTGATTGGTCTGATTAACAGTCAGAAAAACAGGATACGCCATATTGACAATTTCTGCACAGACCGCCACATCCCCGCAAAAATGACCAAATAGTAAGTGTCAGCAGCTTCTCTAACGTTTTCACTTGGACTTTGGTTGGCTTTTTACGGCTAATACAGCATGACGTGACCTGCAGGACATTCTTATAATGCCCCCACCTTGCGTCACCCGCTGTTAGCCCAGAAATCTGTTAGCATAGGTGTTGTGAGCGAAGCTGCTCCGTGGCGCTGTGGTGCCCCCTCATCAAGCTGTTTACCTGTGACCACTTAGCTTAAGTCTTTATTTTTCAGGCTGACCCGGTCACGGTAGACGCTACGATGGTGCTCACTGGAGCAATGGAAGCGCCCTCCGCGGAAGATGGCTCTGCAAAGCAGGGGTCTGGTGTCTGCCTTCGAAGTCGCTCTTGCTCCTCCGAGAGGGACGGTCAGGTACGGGCTGTCAAAGCTGCCCTCCTCTCCAAGCTAGGGCCTTACGAGCCCGTCCTGACATACCTGCAGTCCGTTCTGGTGTGGGAGAGACCATTTCAGAGTGTCCTTCTCTTCACCGTTGTCAACGTTGTGTTCTGGTAAGTTATCAGCTAGTGTGAGTTGGGGTATTGTTTTTCCTAACCTGTCTTGTGTCTGTGTGGTTGCGTTACAGACATGCAGAAAGCAGAGCATGTCCTCAAGTAACTGGTTATTTTGCACAACGGAAATGTATCACCTGTTAATTCAAGGAGCAGCACATGGCAGGACTGTGGTCCTATTTATGGACTCACCACACTGACTGTGGACCGACATGTCTTCTGACTGTGTTACTATGGAGGACAGTGACAGTTGTCCTTAAAATGCTAATTATTCACGTGTTTTCCAGTCATTTAACCACAAATGTATTCTTGAAAACATTTATTGTAAAGGACATCGAAGAATTCAGATGGCATCACTGGTCTGAAGCATAGGTATCAACATTCTGGAGTGTGTGCTTTTACTGAATATATAAGCAACATTGGCAGTAGGACAGTGAAAATCGCTTGATCATTATTCTTGGATTACAATTATCTTTAATCACTTATACAAGGATAACATCAGCCACAGTGTTTTACATTTTAGAATGTGTATATCTAATCAAACTTGTTTTGCCCCCTGATTAAGCAAATACAGTCCTGTAACAACAAACTCACCAACTAACCTAATTACTAATAGTGCTTGACCCACCAGTAAATTCCTCCTTTGGTTAATCACCAGATTGGCAGAATCATGAAGTATTGTTGTAGTGAACACCTTATGAAGTCTTATGATCTGAATTTGGGGCACTACTTAGAGACTTAATATTTTAAGATATCAGTTAGTAAAATCAAGCTTTTTGCAAATGGACATTGATCCCTCAAATGTGGTTAATGTGTTAAATGATAATAATATTTAGTCTAAATATTTAGTCTAAATATTTCTATTTTTATCTACACTTATTTAAATTTAAGAATGATTTGTATGTTGTAAAGTAATCCCTCTGGCTTTGGGAAAGACAATATGTAACATGTCTAAATAAGTTTGATTGTGTGCCACATGCAGGTGTGGAAACTTCCCCTTTCTTACTTCTGACTGAAAAAAACAAGTCATCTCTCCAAAGTTTTGTGGTCCATTGAATTCTGTACACGTTGTTCAATTATATAACTTATTCTGTGTGTTGTTCTGGTGAAACAGTAGCTGCACTGTGTGCTCATCTGTGTTCTGTTTTACTCCCCTTCAGGTTCTTTGCTCTCACATCACTGCGCCTGCTGTTCCTGCTGGCTTCTGGACTCGCTGTGCTTGTATTTGTGGATTGCTGGAGGAATAAGATCTGGCCTAAGATTAGAGGTGCTTCACTTTGTCCCTGTGGGAGATTTATTTAAGACACTTTTCCTAATTGGAACAAATGTATGCTTTTATAATCAGAATATACAAATACCACCAGCTTTTCTGCTTTATATAGTTTGAAGGTAATTTCTATTAAACATGTGTCCATACTGTGTAGAATATATATCGGTCTAATTTGTCCACATTAGTCTGTTATCTGTGCTCTTATCTATATTAACTCATAATACTTAAGGATATGTTGTTAAAGTGATTAATGTTCCTGTTCTCTGTTTGCAGTCAGAAAGCTGGATGAATCAGAACATGAGAGGTTGGTATCTGTAGTATCTGTGTAATTACCAACTATTCTGACAACAGTCAAAATAACAGCGACGTTTAAAATGTTGTTTCTGTCCAGCTGGGGTCTGGTGCAGCCTGGCGTCATCAGTGTGCCTGAAATTTGCCACCACCTTGCTGAGGCGTGGGTCAGTGCATCGGTTTTCACATCCAGCACGCTGCAATACAAACGACAGAACCCAGGCAATGTAAGAGCCACACAAAAAAACATCCAGAGTGCATACCTTACCTCCAGAGTATCCCGTATGCACATCACTATGGACTATTTTTAATATGATTATTGGATTGTGACTCCTCTGATTGTCCTCAAGATTCTCAGATGAAATCTGCTTAATCTGTAGTGGCACTGACCATTTTCCCCATGTTTCCTCTTTCTCTGTGACAGTTTTGCATCCTGACCTGCGGAGTATTCTTCTGTTTGGCTGTGATTGGATTCTACCTTCCTGGATTGGTGCTGTCTTATGCTGCTTGTGAGTCCCGGCAGCTTAAGCCGTCCTGAGCACGTATCTGCACCCGTTCACAAGGCCGCGTTGGCAGGGAAACTCTGCCGGACTGGTCTGATTAAAATTGCACGGGTGGTGAAACCAGATCTGTGGGGCCTCTGTACCGGGGCCCGGTCTGTGAGGTGATTAAAGCAGCGATGAGGCACACATGATGGAAACGAGGGAGGGCAGGGAGCCAGGAGGAAGGCTAAGGAGGTCACTCAGGCAGCGGGCTAATCTCTTAACCTACAACCAGTGCAGACTGCCGAGCTCTGCAGGAAGGACCAGTCCATAGCGCCGCTCCCTGTCTCTCACAATGTTTCTCTACTTACTATCACAGACACGTGGGTGTGTCTCCATGGAGGATCTAAGTGTAACTCCAAATAACACCATGTTACATCTACCAAACCTGATCTCCTGTTTGATAATGACAGGATTTCTTTCCTCCCACTCCTGTAGTGCTGTCCACTCTCCTGGCCCCTCTGGGAGCATATCACAGGGTATTTCAGCATGTCTACGTGAAGCTGGGACCAGTCCTGCAGCGGCTGGATTTCAGCGCCAGTGGATACATGATGTCAAAGCCCATTGATAATCAGTGTAAGTTTCTCACTGAATTCTGTCGGTGTCGTAACTCTGGTTGAATATCGGAGATTAATTTCTCTGAAAATTAGTTTATTTTAACTTTAGTGGCCTAAACATAACATTTTTTGTTTTTAAATGGATCATCTTATTCTGTTTTTACTTATAAATCTCAGCTGCATTGTTGTTTTAGTGCCCTCTAATGGTGCTAAGCACCATGTTCTGTTCATGAAAGACTATCTGGTTTTATTTATTAAATTAATGTCCTCTTCCAAGACAGTTTTTGTTGTTATTATATTTATATGATATGACATAACCATTATTCATTTATGAAAATATATAGGCAACCAAAAAACTCTTAATTTTTATTCATAACATTTGTTTTGCTTTTCATGTATGCATTTGTTAATGTTTTGACTAAGAAATGTTCAAAGTAAATCCCATAGCTTCCCAGAGGCCCTGTTACCTTAACAGCATGTCAGAAACGTAAAGCAGATATGACCACTGATAAAAGACATCACTCCTTGTATCTCTCTTTGTAGGTTAAACGATTAACCAAGTGCAGACTTAATTCAGTCTAAACTCAAACTGGAAATTACTTGTTTATGTTTGGACATGTTTGAACTCATTTTGAACTTCCTTTAAAATCAGTTCTTTTATATACTCTAACCTTGACAGAGGAAGCGTATATGTTGTAATCCTCTCTGTGTTTTCCTGCACTCTGCAGTCCTTCGAAGACCCATTCGAGATGAAGCCTCAGGCGACGCCAGCGACAGTGAGGAGGAATTGGCTGCTTTCTGCCCAACGGTGAGTTGAGCTATCGTCCAAAGTGTCATTATTTTAGATAAGCAGGCTTGATGTATATGTGAGAGGAGCTGACTTTCAGTGTAAAATATCCTGACACATTTCGTTGTTGCTTCAGTTAGCTTATACTTGGAGAACATGATCTGCAGGGTAATTTAACGCATGTTTTAGAAAACAACCTCCACATCTGCTTTGTCCGTGGCAACTGTGTTGGTCGTTGGAGCATATCCAGGCTGCTTCCTGCTGTGGTCAGACACTTCACAGAACAGGCTGGTCTGTTTTAACCACGACGTGTGCAGTGAAGCCTGCAGAAACAGTGAATGCTTCTCTTTTTTAGCAGTCTTAACAGGAGGAAAGTTAATTAAGCCTTTCACCTTTTAGTTAAAAAAAAATAAAAAAACTCCACCCAACTTTAAGAAATGTTCAATCTTTTCTAATGTTCTGTTTCTTCTAGTTTGATGATGCTGTTGCTGCTAAAGAACTTGCGCTGACTGACTCGGAGCACTCTGATGCTGAGGTGTCCTACACTGACAACGGGACATTTAACTTATCACGCGGCCAAACGCCTCTCACAGAGGGCTCTGAAGGTAAATATTGAAGCACTGCAGATTTCCTCTTTTTTTTTTTATTATGTTTAATCTGCTCTTCACTCTGACCCCCTTCCTGTCCTTGTGGTCAGATTTTGACAGACACAGTGATGCAGAGGAGTCCTTTGCACAAGACCTCCCCGACTTCCCCTCCATAAACCCCGATGCTACCCTCATGGATGACGATGACGACACAAGCATCGGGCTGCCTAGCTTGGGTCCGTCAGGGCTGGCTAGCCACCGCGCATCAGTGCTGGACTTGGATGCTCACCTGGAGTCGGACCAGGAGGATCTGGACACCGATCTCTCCCTCAGCGGCCTGCCACCCGCCTCAGACTTCTCTGGAGACTTGGCTGGAATGATCGCAAGCAACATGATCCAGGCGGCGCTGGCCGGAGCCATGCAGCCTCGGCCCCCCACCACTCAGCGCAGACACGGCCCCCCAAAGGCAGCGACCAGCAGAAGCTACCGGAAGCAGTCCAGCTCCGAGTGGGACACGGACTTGGATGGAGAAGACTTTGAAATGCTGGATCAGTCTGAGCTGAACCAGATGGATCCCCTGGGCGGAGGAGAGGGTGGAAGACGGGCTGAAAGCCAGGGGTCTAACTTCTTATCCAGCCTGCTTGGTAAACCGCAGTAGAGCGCGTGTGCTGCTGGATGTGTGTCTGCGTGAGTTTTACTGATGAGCTGTGAATGACTGTGAGAGATGAGTTTAGGTTCCATTAGTCCTGATTCTGATCAGTTTCTCACTGTGAAGTATTTAATTTCCAGCTTTTTTGTTTTTTCTTCTGCTCTGGTTCTCAAGATACCTTTTACTTTGTAGGCTGAGCAATAGGAAAACAAAATAAAAAATAAAAACCTAGTAAGAGATTAAATAAACCAGCAATTTTTTTACATTGTTGCAGTCTTGCAACTTCACACACACGTAAGTTACAGGAGTGCTTGTTTGTGACTTGACTAGAGAAAAAAAATATTCAAACCATGATGAAAAAAAGAATGCCTGTAAAATCTTTTCCACATGGAGAACCAGACATATGGGGCTTTATAACATAGGACCAAATAAGACATTCCTATTGCTTTAGCTGAGCCATGTTAGCTAATTCTAACGAAAAGTTAGCAACACTTCAAAAAACAGCAATCAGTGTGAGTAGGGTACCTCTGTCTTTAACATGTGAGCACATCCCACTGGAGGTGGAGTTAAGAGAGCTTCATTTAAGTTATTTACACCCTTGTTGGCAGTTGTCTTTCTGGATCATGTTCTAATTAAAAGGTCTACTTGCCTAAAATTTTCTATCTTTTTTTTTTTTTAATTCATAAGATTCGTGACCTGTGCCCAAAAGTAAAAAACCCTTAATTTCCATGTGGGAATAAGTATAGATATTTTTCCCCTTGCCCTTTGGTGTTAATCTTTAATGGTTTGCAGGAGCCCTTTGCTTTATGTTTTTTTTTCTTTTATAAAAGAACATTTTCCTAAACAGATCTCTTTATATTTTACCAGTGTTGTATTTTATGTAGTTCACATCAAGCTAAACTTTTCTAAGAAAGAAATTTAAGAACAATTCTCCAGTTCATAAGTTATAATTCAAGGGGAAACATGTTTACATCAGAACAGGATTAAAAAAAAAACGTATCCTCATATTTTTTTATGTTCATATGTAAAGGCTTAAAATGGCTCTCGAGTTGGTCGGCCTGATTTCTTTTACGTGGTGAAACCATGGCAGAATGTCTGAATTTTAGAATTGAAAAGGCACTTTAAGTTTGAATAAAAGTTGAGATTTATTGAAATGAAAATATCAGTTAAGAAAATAGCTGTTTTGTTTATTTTGCTCTTTTTTTTTTTAAACAATTTGCTTTCTTCAATGTGTGTATGCTTTTGTTTGGCTTTTTCTGTGAAGAAAATCATAGTTGCAATATTTTTAATTTAATATAAAAAAAACTGCTGGAGAACGCTGAGCTGAAGTAGAAAATGTTTGCACTGATGGTAAGATGTGTTTGGTTTGTTGGACTTGGTTTGAGTATTCCTCCATAAGATTTCTGCTTGATCATTCAACGTGCATAGTGTTGTAGTCTCTCGTATCTCTCTGTATCTGGTTTTGATATGTTTTGAAGTGAAAATCATATTGAATAAAATCTTTGCAGATAGGTTTGTGTAATCCCTTATTTCAGGTGATGTGGAAAACTCACCAGTTCTCTCAGGAAAAGATCCGAGACGCGCAAAAAGTACATTAAGCAAATTAACATTTTCAAAACAGTGGGTCTCACTCCATTTAGATTTCGCTATCCACAAGAAAGTAAGCCATCTAACTCAAATTATACTATTTGATATTAACATTATATTATTGCTATATATAAGTATTATGATGTTATAACGAAATATTAGCCCAAAGATAGCTCATAAATGTCACTGAGTAACGACTAGCATTTAGGAGTCAGACTTCCGGCTAGGAGATAAATCGGTGGAGTGACGCATCTTCCTACACAGTCAATCTTTTTCACTGACGCAAATTTTGCGCGAAACTCAATATTGAAAGCTAAAGTGTTATGCTAACCTGTTGGAAATGAGCAAAAAAGATAACGGTAAGAAAGAAGTTGTCCTTCGGTTGCAATAGCTGGACTCAAACAAGAGATATCTATCAAGTGAACGACGCATTTTTGAGCGAGTTAGCCTTTAGCTTAATAGCTAAACTTCTGAAAGTGCAGGGCTAGGGGTAGTTTACCATGGAGACAAAGACCCCGAAATGAGGAGACTAAATATGAACAAACTTCATTAATGTAACGATTAATATAATTTGATACTCCATTAAGGTGAATGTCAACGTTTGGCTTTGTGCTGTCATCCTCAGGGGCCTCACTCATCCTTGCCTACCTAAATGAGAAAAACCGTCCCTACAGCTCACAGGATGTTTACTGTAACTTACAAAAGCAGCACGGTTTGGGTAAAACGGTGAGGTTCCCTCTTAAACCATCTCCTAACCCCTTGTGCCGTCTTTATGTAAACTAATGGACTTAATGCTTGCTCCATCAGGCAGTGGTCAAAGCCATGGAGCTGCTGGCTGCCGAGGGCAAGATAAAAGAGAAGATATATGGCAAGCAAAAGATTTACTTTGCCGATCAGGTCGGTGGTCCCCTCAAATGAGAAACGATATGCTGGAGGAATCTCTTACACACTGAATCTGACCACAGCTGACCAACCCCCCCCCCCCCACCGCCACAGTTTAAAGACGGAAATGGGGCACCCCCAAAGGCCATGGACGGTCAGATCTCGGCTCTCAGCGCGGAGGTGCAGAGCCTCACTCAGAGCTGCAAGCAGCTGGATGCAGGTGTTGTTCCCAGTTTGGGACCTGTTCTCCGTTTGGGCCCTGTCCTCCTACGGGACCGCCACAAACAAGTGCCATCCCGGTTTGTTTTAGGTCCTGCTCTTAGGGAGGGAGGGTGTTTGTAACCATATCTCATGTGTGATAACAGAACTGAAGGAGCTGAACAGCTCCCTGACAACAGAGGAAATGGTGGCAGAGATCCGGGAGCTGAAAGCCGAGTGTTCCGGGTACAAGGCGCGCCTGGACAAGATAAAGTCGGCCACAAATCACGTCACCCCAGAAGAGAAGGCGAAGGTGAGCATAGGGAGACGCCGTGAAACGATCCTTCTCTCCTCTTCATGACCAGTGAAACATTTCTGTTTACATTTTACAGGTTTATAAAGAGCGAGACGTTTACGTCAAAGAGTGGAAAAAGAGGAAGAGGCTGGTAAAACGTTTTACTAAAACACATTTGTACATGCAGTCATGGCATCAAACATGAAAAAGATGTCTCTTTTGTGTCTGTATTTGTGGTGTAGTTTTGGAGCTTTGTATAGATAAGAAATCCTCCTGTGTTTCAGGCTTCAGACATGATGAATGCAATCCTAGAGGGATATCCAAAGAGCAAAAAGGAGTTCCTGGTGAGCCGCGGAGCAGCAGACTCCTTGAGAAAATGTAAAGTCTCTTAAAACACCTTTTGTTCTTTTATATGTTCACAGGAGGATGTTGGAGTGGAGACGGATGAGGACTGCAAGGTGTCTGTTCCAAGTACTTGAACAAAATGTTTGTGCTGCTGCATCAGTATAAACCGTGTGATGTGTTTTTAAAAAAAAAACAGGATTACAAATCAGCAGTCTGAGTCACAGAATAGTTTATTCGCAGCTGTTTTGAATAAATAGCACAGCTTTATCATTAGCTCGACACTAAAGCTTCATTTGACACCCCAGAGGGATGTTCCTTCCCTCATGAGCAACTTTGGGTTTGTCCCTTTTTAAGCCATTAAAGCAATCCTGAGCTTACAATGGAGATGCTAAACGTTTCCTCATAGCTCTAAGAGCAGTGCATTATTCATGTTCAAATCTATGTTGCTCATTTTTTTTTACCGCTCAGTGTTCAGACTGGCTGGTTTTCATGGGCCATTAAATGATATTTATTATTTTTTTTCTTTACTGGAGGAAACAAATTAAATACATTAATTTGCATGTGTTGTTGACTTTGTTTTTTTCTTTTTTACAAAGATCTACATCTGACCAGTGGATGTTTAGGTACACTTATGCAATAGAATGCAATCAAATTTACTGCATCAGCTCATTCAGATTTTAAAATGATTCCTTGTGGTATTTAGAAATTGTGCGGCAGAAACACCAATCTGTGACTTAAGAGGCAATAAAAGAAAATACACCACAAAAAAATAAAAGTGCCACATGATGTTCAATTTAAAAAAAAAAAAAAAAACGAATCACGGAAGTCTCTGACAGAAAAGTTAAACCGCATTTCTTAATATTAAAGCCAGTGAACAAAAGTCTTAGGCTGCCTGATTTAAAAAAAAAAAAAAGTCTCATTAAAATCAATTTTTTAACATCACATTCCAAAAATACAAACAAACTTACATTTGTGTTTAAGATGCTTTTTCTTTGACTGAGCTGTGTCTGTCCAACAAATTGAGAAACAATAATCATGTCTGTATTAAATTAGATTCCACCATCCTGCCGAATCACCTAAAGCAAATCTCAGATGAAATACTGAAACTTTACACGCACACCTCCTGCATAACAGCTGCTTGTAAACGTAAGTGAGAATATACAGCAGAACATTTGTAATTAGAGGATAAGATTCAGGAGTGACTAAAAGGTTTTTGCACTGAAGCCCAGAGAAGCCTTTTGGCTCAGATTAAGCTCCAAGGTTCTGCTTACCGAGACACCTGTCAGACATGCAGCAGACGGTCACTTCCCCCATTCTGAGTTCTGTTTGAGGTCTCACCTTTTATGGCTTTTTCAACCAGCTCCACAGCACATTATTTTGCCAGCACGTTGAATTTAAAAACATACATACATACAGCTTCATTAACTTGTATACTCGTGTTGTCTCACCTTTTTAGAATACAAGTTGAATGGGGCCACTTGAAGTACACTTAAAACCGTAAAGTTATCCTTTGCAAGCAAGGATAAGGCAGCTTTTTATCTCTGCCTACAGTATGCAGAAAGGTAATCCACCTGCAGTCAGAGGCACTGATGAGCTGGGCTGAGTGCAAACACTGTGGCACGGCCAGTTTTTTTCTCCGTCCTGAGTGGCTCCATTGAGCCCAAAGTCAATTTCTGGGAGTCAACTAGAGGTTTGACCTCGGTCAATAAAGCTGACCATTGAGCTGCCGCAGCACTCCGACAACAAAATCCCGAAGAGTCTAGGAAAGAACAGAGGAAATGCAAAAGACAGTCACCATCTGAGCGGAGTGAAGGCTGAAGTGTGGTGTGCGACCCCCTTAGCCAGCCCCTACCTGGGGCTTGCAGTGCTCTTCAATCCAGCTGAAAACGCAGGCAGACAGCTCCTGAAAGCTGCTGACAGAAACCGAGCTGCTGAAAGACACAAAGAGCGAGTCCATGATGTTCTGAAAGATGTTGAACTTGACCTGGTCAGACACCTGATCCTCTCCCTGCTGCGGGTTGTTCTGATGGGCCTTCACGATGTGCTCATAGTTCCTGTAAAGAAAGACAAACACACAAACTGGTATTACAGCGCGTTTTCACAGAGGAACCATGAACTTAAGTGATTTGATACCTTCCAAAGCTTCAGGCCCATTTTTACAACTTTAGCAGCAAAGTATTTTGTTTTTTTCTTTTGTCCTTTATATTTAACTTCATCTGGATGCAAGGGAGTCATGAGTTTGGAATGCTTGGGTGGCAAAAGGAAGGATGTAAAAGCCGTCATGGAAAAAAACAAACAGCTTAACAGACAAAGTTTGAACACCAGTCTCACGTTTTCATGATCTTAAGTGCCATCACTTCTTTTCTCAGGACAGAAACTTCCTCTTCCTGCTTCTTCTTTTCTTTGTGAAGGAAATGGATGTAGTCGATTGCTAAATAGAAAAAAAAAGGCCCGTCATTCAAAGACGGAACTGTTCTGTTAAAGAGTCCAAACAGGTTGTAGTAACCATATCTTACTTTTCTGCAGAATAGTAGCCTTGCTGATCTTTTGAGCTCCAACTGTGAACTCTGACTGCTGCTGGCAGGTGGGCACAATCGACTGCAGGTCATCATATCCTTTCTAATTTTAAAAAGATTATTTTTAGAGCCATTCCTTTCATTTAAATAATATTAGACAGTTCATAAAACATGCTTCTATATGTAATCTGGAGCCTTACCTTAATGGCATCCCTGCGTTTTTGCTCAGCTTGTGTATGCGCTTGTCTCCGTCTATCTTTATATGAGTCCTTATAGGATGTCTCATGTCTGTAGTCACTATCTTCATCATCTATTTGGGGTCACAGTTAAAAAAAAAAAGAATTCAGATTTTCTTTTCCTTCCATGAAATAGAAAATATTAAGTTGAGTATTTCCCAAGGTGTCAAAATAACGTCTCTACATAAATACACACAATACCTGTATTTGGTACTGAAGAGGCACTCGTTGAGCCAATGCTGTTTGCCCTGGATACGACACTACCTTTCCTGGAGGTTTCAGCAAAGAAACCTAAAAATCATTCATCGAACAATTAAAAAACTAGATACAGGTGTATCTTGTTTTTCTAGAGAAGACCGGACATGAAGTGTACTCACTGGGGTCAAAGCCACTGTCGCTGAAAGCCCCATCCGTCTGTCCAGCCATCCCGAACATCCGAGGAAGAAATGAGGAGAACACAGGGACTGAGATGAGGAGCTGAACGTGGGTGCTGCCCTAAATATGCTGACAAAAGACCAGCTGCAAGCCAGTCGGACCCCACTGTGCACTGCCCTCATTTATACAATTTTAGTTTAAAATAGGGTTTTGAAAGCTGGAAAATCACTTTTTCCGTCTCAGATTTACTGTTTGATCTAGGGCACCTCTACACAATACTTTGTCAGCTATTACAGTCAAAACCCTGATAAGACTTTCTGTGTCAACATCAAGTCCTGCTCCCAAAGAGACCTCTGAAAAGGAGCTTTCTTCTTCTTTCTTCTACACATTGGCCACATTAAAACAAACAACTCCAAAATAATCATGAGGGGGTGTTAATTGACATGTACCAAGGAAACTGTCAGACGACTGCGGTGTCAGTTATGTGACAAACAGAGTTGTTGACTTATCTATTTTAAGCTGATGTCCTTAAAAAACTCATTTTTGGGTATCATCAGAAACTTACACACTCAATAACAACTTCAAAAGTAGACCACCTCCCTTAAAAACAAAGAACCAAATATACGGAAAATATGGTTCCCGTTTTCAGGTCGCTTTGTTTACTTAGCTAGCTTATTAGCTAACTGCCACAGCGCTACAAAACGTCATCAAGCTAATGCTAGCCAGTTATGAAGCTATGGAAACACTGTTTCTGCATAAGGCAAGCAGAGCTTCTCCATTCTGTCAACACAGCATTTGTCACATATTATTTTCTGCCACTCAAGAAACATGCAAATCAATTTCCACAATGGTCATGGATAGTTATAAAGACATACTTTCCAGTGGTCCTCCGGAGACGTAGGATCCGTCATTTTGGAATGCTAAATAAGTCAAGCAGTGTTACTTTCACGTACCATTGGTAAATTGAACCTTTCAACGAGCAACTATTCACATTCTCAGTCTTTAGATTCACTAAATCTTTAATATTGAATGAATCACGAGATACCTCACTGGAACTTCAACGCGTACACAAACGCTTAAAAGTAGACAAACTGAAACGACGAATTACAAGGCCACCGGATTTGGTTGAAATGATGATATCCCACGATGTCCTAAATGCAGCACTATGCAGTAGGTGTCTACCAGCGCACGGTGGCGCTGTTTCACAATTCTTGTCCATGTTGGTGGATATCACTGCCTGACATGACCTACCATCAATCAGGAAGGTATCAGATTAAAATTAAATTCAAATTAGTCAGAACCCCCAGTTTCAGCACATCATTTTGGTCGAACAATTCATGCTCAAATGGGTGTATATTGTTTGAAAAAATAATGAGGGTGTATGTTGTCTTTGCTAGTCGGTGTTGGGTCTGCAGGTGCTGGCGTAAAAAAGGTTGTTCACAGACAGCTTTACACATGCTGCTTCTTTTCAGTCCTGTAATTCTTTTGTTATTCATCATTACCTTTTATATGCATGGTATCCCTAACGGTTATCAAGTTTGTCTTCCACCCAGTTTCTCCACCCTAGGCCCTGCTGCAGTCATACACAGGAAGTTGCTCTTCTGCTTTTGTGCTTCTGTGGTTTCTGTCTGTGTTACAGAGTATGACACACTCGCCTCTCCTTCCTCTTAAATGCAGGCCTCTGAGCTGTGCTCGTCTCAGACGTTGCTAAGGTAGTGCAGAGAATAGTTAGCTAAACATAAGTAAGTCTTTATTTGGTTCTGACAGGTTGTCAAAAGGTCTTACCTAATACTCGAAAGTACAGTGAGGACAGAGAAGCAAGGCAGATATGAGGGTAAACCTTTTCTTCTCACCATCCGGCCTGTCTATAGGACAGAAGATGACTTGGTAAACTAAGACTCAGCGTCCCTCACCTTGAAGGCCCAGGACTTGGTTTGATTTAGGCCTTCTTAGTCATTTGGAGTGATCTCCTTTATCACTGTGCCTTGGAATACACTGATTTCTTTGGAGAAGGGGTTTGTGTAAAGCTTTCCTCCTGGATTACTTTTGGAGATTAGTGATGGGGAATGCGGCTGCGGGGGGCTTGGAGCAAGAACCAGCTGAGGGCCGAGAAGCCAGAAACTCAGTTGGGGCAGCTCCAACAATGAGCGACACCACACTACCTTTGCAAAAGAAGCAGTCCGCTCCCCCAAAACTTCCCATGCCGCCTGAGGAGGAGTTGGAGGAGCGTTTCAACACGGTGCTGGTAAGTGGCTAAGATAAAGAACTTTACTGCATGTGAAAACAGCAAGGCTTCATATTCTGTCATTGAAACTGGAGGGACTGGTTGATTCTGCACAACATTAGAAAGCACAGAAATGAAAGGCCAGTAAACATGAATCAATGTTATTTGTTATTCGATGTTAACAGTGATAGGTGTTTGGTTCTGGTCGCTTCCATTTCTGTTGCAAAAAGCTCATTTTGCCTGAGCAAAGACTGTTTATGCTGTCAGCCTTAGATAGTCGTTATGCCACAATGTTCAGTATTATCTAAATCAATATTTCAAGATTGATTTAGATGGTCCTGGTTGCAAGCAATCAGCTTAAAACCTTTAATTTTACAAAGGTTAAAATTATATAAAAGGTGTCAATATTTCTTTCCATCTGTCTGATTTAAAAATATTGGACAGGAAACGTGGTGATTAGTGCACACATGGGTTGTTTACCCCAAAGGGAAGTTGAGCAACTCTATACATGAAAGCACACAGGACCGGAAAGCAAGCGTTTCACCATTATTTCAACAGTCACGCAACAGTTCAACTATCGTTAAAACCGAGGAGGGATACTGATGTCAATTGTAGTGTATATTTGTATCATTAAGATGTTGTAACACGGCTTTTGATTCAGGTTTTTTTTTTTAACTAGACACAAAGAATCGCATTTATCAAAGTAGAACATCTCTTAATTTAATGATCAGCTCTTTATTTCTTGGTTCAGCCGAATTCATGCGGTGAACTGTACAGACGGTGGTTCAAAATACATGTTAAAAGTAGAACAGTGACATCACACTTACACAGTCACTAAACGGTGAATAGCAGATATGATGGGATACCACATAAACACATAAACAAAAGAAAATCAGTCGTAATTTGTATTCATTTTAAGATGGTACAAAGACATTAGATTTAATATTTATATTTATTATCTTCTATATAGAACAAAAACATGTTCATTGAAGATTCAATGGCATCTATATGTTTTTAAAAAGGGGGTTTAAATTCCTTCAAAACACAAAGATTAGGATCTGGATATTGAGGACCCAAAGGACCCCTTTCTGTGCTGCCTTTATGTGAGAAGCAGAGTAAAAATTGAATTGAATTGGTCCCTGGACAGATCCAATCAATTAAAAGGCCAGCAAACAAATGGAAGAAAATGCAGATTTCAATTTACACTCAACAATGAATGTCAAATGGGTTTTTTTGTATTTTGAGAGGAAGATGGGAAATATTCTGGCTCTGAGGTCACAGTTGTAACCACCACAAAACCGAGGAGACCCAACTAACAATATATGAGGTTAATTCTTAACAAGTGAGCAACACAAATATACAAAAGGAAGCTGAGGAAAGTGCTGCCTCCTTCTCTCTGTCTCCATTTGGATTAAATTACCATCCAGATAATGGTCAATACCCATGATGGTAAAAAGGTTGAGTAGAACACACAGCATGGATAACCTTTTTGTGGCTTGTGGCTGTTTTGAGGCTGTTAGTTTAAAAACATTTGCATGAGAAAATGTGTTGTAATGAACAATTACAGAGATGGCTCGTGTTGCTTCGTGCCATCTACTCCCTCTCAGTGTTCATATAAATGTATGAACTCACTTCCTATTATGTATGAATCTTTAAACTGAGCGGGGCTGTCACAACGTTTCGGAAATTGGATTAAATGTTTGCGTGAAAAACTCTCCGAAGAAAGGAGAAGTGAGCCATTTCCTTCTTCACTTCTACATGGTCTTTCTCTATAGTAATCATATCGTTTTTTTTATCACAAAACCGAAGCAGGACCCCTCCCTAACCCCACCAGGGATGAAGCTCAACTTCTTATAGCAAGAAAGCAACAGGCCATTTCCGTTTTTTCATTTGCTTTTTGAAAAAAAGAGGTGTGAAATAGAAAAAACGGCAAACCGCTGCTTGGGTGTACACGAGGTAACAACAATACCACACCCAGTGTCGACGGAAGGATTCTATGTTGTCAGCGTCTGAACAGTGAGAATTGTATCTCTTTGGTACATTGAGTTCTTAAGTTCCTACAGTGGAGGAATTGCCCACATATCTGGAGTCAGACACTCTGCCGCAGGTTGATTTTATTAACTAAAATAGAAACGTTGCGTGTGAGCATTAATGTCAGCTTACACTGAAAAACTGCGCAGGCGGGGGGGTTCCTGAACTTGACTCTGCTGCACATAGAAAAGAAGGGATTGATATAAAAATAAAACTTACAAAATCACAAAAACTGTAGTATCATTTGCAATACGTGTCAAAAGAAAAAGTTCAAAAGATATGATTAGATTAAATTAGATTTACAAAGGCTTCATGATCACTTTTTTTGAGAAGCATGGTTTCCATTGACAACCCTACACACTTCATGTAAACACTGAGTCATCTGCTTGTAGCAGGTACTCGTCCTTTTTCACCAAAAGCTCTTGTGTGGTTTTGTACATTTAAATATTGCTTCACAGCAAGAAGATTGAAGAAATTCCAACATACAGTATGACGGCAAAGAAATGGAGTAATACTTTCATTTTGACCCCAAATTGTATTTGAACTAAAGGGTCTTACAGAACACCATCTTTCCATCCCCCCCCCCCACCCCCTTCTTTCAGAGCTATATGAACTTGCCTCCAGACAAACTGAAGCTGTTGAGTCAGTATGATAACGACAAGAAATGGGAATTAGTCTGCGATCAGGTAAGAATTATTATTATTTGTTCAGAAAGGTTTTGGTGTTAAACCCCAACACGCGTCTTCACTCTTGCAGTGGTGCTTTCACTGGGACAGAGTTGACTCAAAGTACACGAGCGCCCAAAGAAGGTGAAGGTGGTGCGTGCACTGCGAAAGTCTAGCAGCATTGTCCCTGTGGTGGCATA